TGTCGGTAGTCCAAGCGTTATTTACGAGTGGAATGCAAGCATGATTTGTGTCAAGGAAAGCAGTATATACCTCTTCGCTTTTATTGGTGAGACTTGCATTCAATGGTGACTGCGTATAATGTTTCGACTTTCAGTTGGTCCAGCTCCTGAGGATGACATCGCCGCAAACATGGCTTGATGTGCTCCTGATTTCGTATGTCTGTTTCTTAGCGGAAGAATCGAGCTAAACGCTCCTGATGTACAACCGCTTTTGGAATGGCAGTGGTTTGACAAGGTATTTGGCCGATATTTCACGTGGTCTGTTGCGTATAGAGCGATGTCCTGAGGCGTGCGATGAAAGTGACGAACACCAGAAAAACTACTTGACGCAAAACCAGATGGCGGCTTACGTAAGCAAGACGTAGAGCCAAGCACATTGGGTGCTTGAATACTGAGGATAATAAAACAGTGTGGATAATAAAACAGTGTGGACATAGACGAATCTAATTAGAGTGTTTGAGCTAGAGCTTACTAAGGCACGTGACAAGTCACCCCGGAAAAGAAGACACTATTCCAAGAGTTGTGGGATGAGGAAGTTAGGAGAGCCATAGCGAAACGTCAGGAACCCTCTAGGGAACACAGACATGCTAAGCAGCGGGGTGAACCGACAGATGATGTTGAAAGAAAATGGGACATCTTTCTAAGCTGTAGAAGGGAAGCATCCCATCTCATCAATGAAAAAATTAAAAAATGGGGGCTCCGTGGCTGGCAGAAGTACATAAAAGGGATAGAAATGCAGCTACCAAATTTTGGAACCATCTAAACTCCCTAAGAAATAAGAGAAGCCTAGAGCAGAGTTTTATAATTACAGCTCAAGGTACTAGGCTAGAAAGGGACGAATCTATTTAATATATAAGAACAAGGGTGACAGAAAAATTTCAACACAGAAGTGCCTTATGCACCACAATAGACAAGGATGGATCAAGTGGCACAATGGCTCCATTTTCACAAGAGTGGGAAAGGACTGAGAAAAGAGTTTTAAGTAGTACATAAACAGGCCCAAATGACATTCCAATTATGCTGATAAAGACATTGGGTCCGAAGTCTAAACAGATTTTAAGAGAGGCAGTGAGCAGACAAATAATCGATGGTGAAGTCCCTGATGGATGGAAACTTCGCGGATGAGCATGATCTATAAAGGAAAGGGGGACAAAGCTGACATAAACAACTACCGTTCTATAACAGTGACATCAGTGGTCTACAGACTGGCGATGAAGATTATAAAGGAAAAACTGCAGGCATGTATAGAGGATGAGGGGTGCTGGGGGAACTGCAGAATGGGTTTTCGAAACACAGGAGGTTGGAAGACAATCTGCTCTCACTGACGCAGTGCATCGAAATAGCAGAAAAGGAACACAGGCCCCTGTGGCTAGCATTTTTAGCTATGAAGGGAGCGTACGATAGTGTGGTTTAAGAGGACTTGTGGGGAATAGTGGACACACTAGGTATGGAAGATGGATTTAATCTTTTAAAGGATATCTATAAAATAACCAGGTAGTTATAAAGTGGGAAAACAGGTATCCAAGCCCATCGAGGTAAAACAGGGCCTTAGGCAGGGGTGTTCTCTGTCACCCTTGTTATTCATGATGTATCTACAAGGATTAGAGGCCAAATTAAAGGGAAATGGACTTGGCTTCAACCTCTCTTTCATCAAATAAGGAAAACTCATTAAACAGGCACTATCACCATTGATGTACGCAGATGATATAGTGCAAATTGTCGACAACAAGGAAGATTTGCAGACATTTATGGACATCTGCGGTAATGAGGGCGATAGGTTAGACTCGGATTCAGTAAGGAAAAATCAGCAGTCATGATTTTTAATGACAATGAAGGTAATGAGCTTAGAATACAGGAGGTCACGCTAGAGATAAGAGATAAATACAAATATCTGGGCGTATGGATAAGCAATGGGGCCGAGTACCTAAGGGAACACGAAATATACATGTCGACTAAATTGATTGATTGATATCTGGGGTTTAACGTCCCAAAACCACTATATGATTATGAGAGACGCCGTAGTGGAGGGCTCCGGAAATTTAGACCACCTGGGGTTCTTTAACGTGCACCCAAATCTGAGCACACGGGCCTACAACATTTCCGCCTCCATCGGAAATGCAGCCGCCGCAGCCGGGATTCGAACCCGCGCCCTGCGGGTCAGCAGCCGAGTACCTTAGCCACTAGACCACCGCGGCGGGGTACATGTCGACTAAAGGTAAGAGGAATGCAGCGGTAATAAGAAACAGGGCACTGTGGAATTATAATAGGTATGATGTTGTGAGAGGAATATGGAAATGGGTCATGGTCCCTGGTCTGACGTTCGGCAATGCAGTCTTGTGCATGAGATCAGAAGTTCAAGCAAGATTGGAAATTAAGCAACGTGGAATAGGTAGGCTTGCCTTAGGAGCTCACGGGAATACAACAAGTCAGGGAGTACAAGGTGATATGGGATGGACATCATTTGAGTGCAGGGAAGCCAGCAGCAAGATAAAATTAGAGAAGTGATTGAGAGAAATGGGGGAGGAGCGTTGGGCTAGGAAGCCTTTCAGCTACTTGTACATGAAGAATATCATTACAAAATGAAGGAAGGAACCAGAAAATTGACGGGTAAATACTTAGAAAACAGCAGGGGCCCAAACCAAAAAGAACTATTGGTTAAAAAGAATGTGAAGGAAACAGAGACTGATATGTGGAGAATTGGCATGATTAAGAAGTCTGCACTAGAGATCTATCGAACTTTTAAGCAGGAAATTGCCAAGGAAACGATCCATCATAATACTCGAGGTAGTTCTTTACTTTTTGAGGCCAGGACAGGAGTATTGCTAAGCAAGACATATCGGGCCAAGTACGAAGCGGTAGACACGATATGCAGTGCAAGTGGAGGGGAGGAGAAAACTGCCGAACACTCGATAATGTTCTGTAAAGGACTTCACGCTATAGTTCAGGATGACGGCAGTTTTTCGAAGCACTGGGGTTTAGGGACAGGGAGGGCAAAATAGACTTTAAGCAGTTAAAATAACTAGAAGGAGGTTATCTGATTGGTGTCTAAAGTCAAGGCACGAGTGAAAATTGAACCCTTCACTGCAAAGTACCAGTCCTTAACTTCACTATTTAAAGAGAAAAAAAAAGAAGAATCTAGTTGTTGGCTCACTAAGTATTACAGCTAGGTGGCAATAGCCGCCGCACGATCTACAAGGTACAGCCACATCAATCCATCCATCTATCCATTTATTGTTTGCATGTTTCCGGCAGTATCATGGGGCGCATTCATCCTCGTTGTTTTTTATTGCGGTGGCACTCTGACACCAGTGCTTCTGTATGCACTCTCATGGCGCAAAAACAAGGTCATTGCTTCATCGCAGGGTACACTTCAGGCTACAAGTCAGCTGAAAGGAAGCATGCGTTGTTCGGCGGAAGCTCTGTTTGCGTAGTGGCAGAGAGCGATCCCGCGCGCTGACAAGCTGCTTCAAAAAAAAAAAAAAAAAAACAGCTGTGTGCGAGCTGAACTTTGACGAGAAGTACATCTCGCGGCACTTCGAGCACACTTTGAATGGCGAAATTGTCCACAGTGAAAGGGGTAGGCCCATAGGCATGCTTGCTGTTCAGGGGCAAAGGTTCATTGCAGGGTGACTCCTCCCTAATAAAACAGCATATGATGCAAATTTTGCACCCCTTTTTTATAATACTAAAAGAGGGCCCGCTGCCTAGTCAATGTATAGAGCAGATTTAGCGGCCCCCTCCCAGGTGACTAAGAAGGGGGGGGGGGGCGCCAGCCTCCTTTGCCCCCCTCGTGTTGACGCCTATGGGTAGGCCTTTCGTTGAAGCTCTTTGCATTTTTAGATGCCCTTGAAATCACTTTCTCAATGTGATTTAGCTAAAACTAGCTTCACAGTGACAGCTTGAAAGAGCTTGTTTTCAGCTTGAAAAAAAAAAAAAAGCTGTCACACTATATGATCCACACAAAATGGTCCGAGCCTCACCAATCAAGTGACAAGTTTGTTTCTGCTCACCCACCTGCGTTTTTAAACAAAGGCACTACACAAGGAGCGAGCATCTTCCCCTGAAAAGAGGAAGTACCTGAAGCTCAGGCACTTAGGCTTGCAGCTCAATGTTCTGTGAGAGCTTGTGAACTATAAAACTTTTTTTTCTTGGGGATAAAAAAAGACGGGCGACCAATTATCAAGAATGCACTGTTGTAAATAGATAGTGAGTCACTATTCGGAAATGTATTGTATGATCTGTGTGCAGGAAATAAAAGGTTTTTATCCAGATACCGCTCGTGATTTTCGTCTCCGAGTTTGACAATACGAATGATGGGGCTTTATTTACAGATTAGTGATTGAAGAAATGATGGTTCACCATGGAAGTTGTTGCTAGCAATGGCTCACAAGTGAGTTCATCGTTTCACTCTTCTACCACTTCACAACAATAAAATGTTTCAGTGCCGTCACGCACACACTTTCGGCACACTGTTGATATTTTAGCTCAACCGCAAACCCGCGTAGGCATCCTGTAATTCCAGAAGCTAATTACCATATTTTCTCGGTCGCCATTTGGGACCATGCACGAGCAACAAGATATATTTTAAATGTTTCACATTGCCCGCGTGCGTGGTTGATTCCCGTCTCTGCGCAGCGCATCGCCACCTTGGGTGACGTGCAAATGTATGCCAGCGCCACCTGGCGGTTCCCTCCCAAGGCGTTACGCGCGAGCCGGCACGTTCGTCACACTTCACTATTCTAGCCCCTGTAGCTATTGTAAGGGCCGCTGCTGCTCAGCTGACGTTCCAAGCATGCGTATCCTAGCGTTACTGTATATGGTATACCTTGCACCTAAAGTTAGTATACAGAGTAATTAAACTTATCTGTCGTCAGTCGGCGCCATGGCCTGACGGCACAGGGAAAGTGAACCGGTGACAAACTAAATGACAAACTGCAAGGAAACAGAGGAACCACAGAGTCTTTTGCATAGGTAGTCAATATTTTTTATTTTTGCTTTTCATCATCGAAAAAGGAAAACATGAACAAACAAACGTGGGTCGCAAGGAGAAAAAATGCATCGCAACAAGATATTCTGTACTGCGCAGTGCTACAAGTGTCGAGGGAGAGAGTCTCATATATAAGCTCTTTTTTATGTCGTACAACAAGTGCGTCCCTTCTGTGACAAGGCTCAACAAAACACCGCCGCATAGCGTCAACTCTGCGGACGTAATACAGAGCACCAACAACTCGACCTACAAAACGTATGGTACATACTATATATGGGGTCCAGAGCACACATTCGCAAAACACAACTAGAAATAAGGAACGAAAGTGTCTTGCGTGAGCGCCTAGAAAGACTAATTGTTTAACTTTCTTGCAATGTGCAGAACGGTACCCCTAATCACCTTGGGCCAAGTGGCAGTCTCCCAGTGACAGCTCCATCAAATGCACAATGCATATACAGCTGCGTCCACGTCTGTGCATGCGAGCATCCAGCTCTGTGAAGTCTTGCTCTGTGGAGCGACACCTAGCGGCACTTGCGTGCTCTCACGTGGTGTGGCCAGGAGCATGCGCAGCCTCATTGACATACTCAGGTGCTTTGGACGTGCGGCCCCGTTGAAAGGTGTGCTCATTTCACCGAATATGCACGCTCCCTGAGGGCACTTTCGCCGTCTCGGCTGCAAAAGATGACGCGTTCCGACCGAAAGCGACTCGAGGGAGCATGTACCTTCGGTAAAACAAGTGCACCTTTAAACAGGGTCACACCTGCAAAGCACCTGAGCATGTCAATGAGGCCACGCATGCTCCTGGCCACACCGCGTGAGAGCACGCAACTGCCGCTAGGTGTCGCTCCACAGAGCAAGACTTCACAGAGCCGGATGCTCGCACGCACAAACATAGATGCGGCTGTACACAAAGTTCCACGTCGGAAAGCTTGGGTAGTCATTTTAGTTTGTTGACGCAGCGACATGCATATTACTATACAAAACACCCAAAATGAAGTGGCCAGCGAAACTGGGGAGACCGAAACTCGACATCATTGACAGTAATTGTGGACGAACCCATGCGCAGGAACAGCGCGATCAATTAATGGTAGCACGAGACATAATGCATGCGAGAGAAAAGGGAGCAAAAAAAGGTGGGACATGCATATTTCAGTGAATTTCAGAGAGCCAGTCGCAAAGGCGCTTCCTCGGCATCGCACATTCTGTGACATAGCTCGGGCGAAGAAAATGAAAATCTATAGACATCTAGAAACAGACATTTTGTCGTTTGAAAGTATACGTCGAACGTGTATACTATACTGAAATCACCAGCAATTCACCGGAGAAGTATAAATTATTAGATTATCCCGATCATTTTGTATAGAGCACACCACTGCTGTGCATACTATACTATATATATACATGAAATGTAAAAGCATGCACACCCTGTACATTCAGGATGCGTCATGCAAGCTGGTGTATATACAGGGAGGAGAACCACATCCCCGTAAACATGGCCAATTTCAGACTGTTTCTTCAGAAGCTTTTCTTTCATCTTTTGTAGAAAACGGTAATATGTAATTTGCCATAGTATGTATAACTGGACCTTTTCTGACGAGAGAGCAGCTATGTTAACTTTTCTGGTCTTTTTTGTATTATTAAGAGTCACCTACAATATGCCCGTAGTGTACGTTGGAAAGAGAGTCGGCATAGGCATGAAAGGACTAGGTTAAAAAACGGGAGAGGAGACGCTCATCGTACGCGAGCATGTTGCCTGTTGTGCAACCAGTATCATATCTGTAATATATATTTATCAAAGATGCAATATCTACCTGCAATCCTTGTGAAAGGCATATAGAAGTCTTGTTTTAAGTACTCTGCAAACTCGCATACCTTTTTTTGCGTGCTTTTTATAAGTACAGAGCCGCGGCACGAGTATTCACGCAAGTGCAGTTGAACAGCCACCCCATTTGCACTTTCTACTTCTCCCGTATGTTACTGCAGAGTACAAAAACGAGAAAAAGAAATACTCCTTGGAAACAACGGAAACAAATCTTGTTAATGCTACTTAAATATCAACAAATCATAAAAACAATAACGATCAAGCATCAAATCGAAAAAAATCAACAAGACCCCCGGCCGTTCCCTGTACTCGGATATACAACGAGAAGTGATGAAAAGACAAAAGAAACCTCGCAGTAATTTTAATTATTTCTTACAACGAAACCATATACGTATACCATGGTAATGAGCCAAAGGTGTGTAAGCCTGAATATTTAAAAAGAGAAAGAGATGGATTAAAAAAAGTGCCTTGCCAGACAGTTTTAGGCGACTCTGACTATAGTGTGTGAGAGAAAATGTACATTGCTGCCTTCAACAGCCGCTCGTTTAAAACTCTTAAAGTTCTGACTGAATCGGTCGCGATAGGGAATATGGTGAAGGGATACGACGGAAGCGTGCAGAAAGCTCCCTGAAAGAGTCAAAAGAAGAGGACACTGTTTATGCAGTGGGAGGGTCAAAAGACGACTCTTGACTAGACTGACCCCCGCAGCTTGTCCGACACGGCGTTCGAAACATCCCCGTTCCCATCTTCGATGCTCCCTGACCATGAGAGAATATCCGCATGGAGCCAGAGACGTCCTTACAAGCTCCACCCTGAGCGAGGCAGTAGCGAGTGCGCCTGCGAAATATTGCTCGCAATAAGAAATAAATATTGGACCACCGACGAACAAGTTTCACTCTTTTCTCTTTTTTGGCACGTGGATCGTGTGTGAAGCAGTCGTCGTGAAAATAGTTTCTGCGAGATAATGGTTCGCAAAACAGCAACAACAAAAAACTTGTTCATGTGTTCACTGTGCTCGCAGTTTTTATACAGGGTTTCGGCGAATGCTAGCTGAATAGAGGGCCACGCTCATACTATGGCCCCCTTTTTTTTTTCACCTGACATTGCGCGCATGCGTTCGAAAGAAGTCGCACCAGTAGCTCTCCTGACAATGCTCTCTCTCCACCTCCTATCATATAACGCGTGTCGTCGGAGATGTGAAGCAATCATAGACTGGGTGTGGAGAAGTCAAAACGCCAGGCACAGCACCATGGCACCCAGTAAAAGCATCGACGGTACACTATCACAGAAATTCTATTTCCGAGAAGTGGGTGTCATTGTGAGCAAAGCTCAGCTACAGAAAGACTGACGCAGCAAGACCACCACACTGGGCACCACTGAATTCAGGAATTTAGTCAAATTCACCATCTTGTAAGCGCCGATGGGGCAGCCACGCTCTCTCCAAAAGGCTTTCAAGACACCATCATTATACAATTCGACAGTGTCCAGTACTGTACCTAGAGCGATTCTGTGTCTAATGAATAACTCTTCGGAGATCAGAAAGCCCACACACACTGCTGAGGTGCCTAAAAAGACGCCACGGTTCGATCGCGCGGGATTACATTCCTTATCTGTGAGGTCTTGGTCAGAGCGCAGCTCGTGCCTGGTCCGCTCCAAGTTTGAGAATATGCGCGTATCATGTTGTCACTCTGCTGCCTTCGGCACATGCATAAAGACTGTTGTTTTCTGGCAAGTGAATAGCGCAAAAAGAAAGCTTTTTCTTGGGCGAGTTGGTTCATGGCTGGAGAGGAATATACAGCAGCACGAAAAAAAGCCGCCGAGCATGTACTCATCCCGTCTTCCTTTCTTCCTCGCTACTGACATTTCCCATTCAATGTCACAGACAGCGTTGTAGACCACTGAGGCCTACACAGGTAATTACCACGATAGTGAACAAATGTTTTTAACTGCGCACGCTCGAAATGAGGCGGTAGAAAAATGAGCATAACTGTTGATGTGTGACACGTGGTTGGACTACGATTTAATACAGCTGTTACTGTAAGAGGCTAAACACCTTCCTTTCTTAGCAATGTGTGTAGCTAATAACCTATTTTATGTGATGCTGTATAGCAAAACGTATTAATACACTTCGAGCACTTTACATTTTTACTACACGTCTTTGCACAGCAGCAAACAAAAAAAATTATGAACTGAACCCACGCTTCAATTTCAAACCACAACCCCACTTTCTGAGGATCAGAGTTTGAAATGTTCAAGTTAATATAGCTAATCAACAATATAACCTATCTGAACCTATCTGAACCAAGCGAGGCATCCGCATAAGTTTAGCTTACCGTCTAATTCTGTGATGCTGCACAACCACGGCTTCATAATAACAATAATAATAATAATAAGTTCAACACCAAACGCCTCTTCCGCGTGCTAAATATATATAGCTCGAATCGCACACTCAAAGAGTAAAATGTGCAGTTTTGAAGCTAAGTTGTAATGCATAATTTGCCAAGAACTGGCATTTTCGTGCATGTACGTCGAGAGAAAAATAGATATTCAAAAAATAAGGACAATACTCGCGCAGCAAACGTCCGCGTGTTGTATTGAGCATACGAACGGTCAAACATGTAAACTCATAGTAAAATTTTTTAACGTGTTCGGTATTCGCTGTTGACACAAAAATAGAAAAAGAAAGACAGTTAAACAAGGGGAGCAAGAAAACATCGCTCTTCGTCATGAACTCAGAATTATTGACAAACGGCAAATTTTTCACCCCAAATTCATACATTCTGCAAATCGAAAAAGCCAGCACCATGACACCGAAGTGTATCTTGTAACATTTTATCTCACAGTACTTCCCCCTGAAACAATGCCGAAATCACACTGCTGTCTCAATAATGGCGAAATTCAAACCTTTCGACTCGTACTCTCAAGGCAGTGATCACTTCATCATTGGGCTGCAAACAGCCCAACAGCACGCACACACACATAAAAAAAACGTGCCAATAAAAAAAAGCGTCTCTTAAACACTTCAACAGTATGCATATGAAGACGCTCTTAGCGGCGATGAAACATAAATAAAAAGCTCGAAAAACGACATCTCTGCCAACGTCCTTCTGGCAAGTAAAAAAAAAAGCACTTTAATTTATTAGAAATCTTGCACGAAGAAGTTCCAGGGTGGTGTAATCTCAAGTCCAGCCATCATCACTTAGTTAGATTTTTTTTGCTTCCGAGAACCTAACTTGCACTGATACACCCGTCGGAGCATTCCTGTTTAGCTCACGGTGTAAGAATAATCAGGTGTTCACACTGAGTGCGCCTAAGTGGCCAGATAAGGTTAGGTCGCGCGGTCGCGCTGTGCTGCGAGCCGTCAGATGGCACCGCGGCTAACGTACCGAGAGCGCGGTGCTGGCGCATTTAAATTCCTCTGCTTCCCCCTTTTCGTTCTAAGTGGTGTGAGTAATACCTAAAGCGCAAAGAAAATTTGTTATTTCAGGATAAAAGGTAACACTTTAACAGGATTAAGTATTAACACAAAAATACCTTGTGCAAGGAGGGTGTGAACATCAACACAGATAGTTCACATCACGTGCACTAGTATTTTTGTCTGTTCACGATATTGCTCGATACAAACAAAAATAATTAGAAAGAAACTTTAGCCAGCGTGCTATTCCTCCGTCAAAATGCTTTCCCGTGGGTATTAAATGCAAAGATCTTCCATCCACGTGCTTAGATGTAGGTGCATGTTAAACAGCCTTGGATGGTCAAAATCAGACAGAAGCTCTCCACTATGGCATCTCTCGTAATGAAATCGTGGTTTTGATGCATAAACCCTCATTAATAATTATTACCCCTCTAATAAAAGAGAATTGTTACTGCCTAGAAACCCATTTCATGCGTACCAATGCTTTCATTTACACAAGAAATCTTTGGAGCATTTGCGCTTGTTCAGTGTGAATGCGATATAAAAAAATATTTAAAACACGCAAGTATTCACTATTAAGTACACAAGAGCAATGCAGTTGTTGAATGAAATATATAAATATTACAACCACGCAAGTATATCATACACAGCACACTAAAGTAATGCGGTTGTTCATGGCTAGATGTTGCGATGCGAATTCACATATTTATGCCAACGATCACCGTCAGACGATCACTGTCAGACGGCACTTTGAAGAGAGGCACACGCTCCGCACAAGTCCGAAGCCAGAACGGCAATTCGGTACAAAACGCGTCCTAGCCATTTTGAAAACCTTTCAGCAATTTTATGTCACCTTCGTCGACTTAATAGCATTAAACATACGCGAAGAAATGAAACCTGGCTTCAAAACAGCGCAGTCGCACATGCCATCAAAAAGACCCAGAATCAGCAGCATCCATGTTTCTGTCGAGCGTGTTGCCGAGACCGAGATGGCTGATCTGGTTCGTCGTAGCGCCATCTACGAGGTAACTGATAATGGCCCGAACATTATCTAGACGTGCTGGGATTGCACTTTTCAACCCATTGTGGGGATAGTGTCAGCACCTGTATATCTTACACCGTGGTCAAGATCTGTCTACTGCAGGTATGTCACATGGTATGCATCTTTCATTCATTCGTCAGTTGGAAAAGTGACGGCTTACAGATAAGCATACAAGAATCATGTCCTATATACGCTCGGACAGCATCATATAGTGGCACACGCTCGTGATCTCACTATAGCCTTTGGTCTCTGGTTTAAGTACGAGTGTCGCAGAGTTCCGCATGTCTAGATACAGAGATGTCATAGAGGCAACACCACCCACACGACACATCATCACACCAGCTTGAAACACGCGCACTTGCAAATCACTGCAAACATGAACTACAGTATCGCTAATCAGTGGAAGCGATGTTTTTCAAGTACCAGTCGTGGCACTTTCCTGCCGTAGTGATCCACCGGGGCAAAACGAGGAGAACGACTCTTTTGAGAGATACACATCAGCCAGTGCGGGCTTGACGACTTGTTTTCGACATAGCAGTGCAGCAGTGTTTCAGGTTTAGACGTCACGTTTTTTAAATTTGTTTCTTTTTCTTGGTTTTTGCTGAATTCGTAGTGGACGATTGACCGCAGGCAAAACAACCCGACACGTACATGGCATTTTGGCACGAATGCACAGGCCTCGTTCGCGTTTGGGGCCTGTCTTCACGAACACACTCCGGACAGTATACATTCAGGAAATTCTTGAGTGAAGCTCGCTGCTTCAGTTATAAGTACGAGAAAAAAAAGACTGAATAGTTTTGTATTCTACCAGTACCTCAATGCTAAGCACAGACTCTTAAGAGCGCTGCCGAAGTTCGAGAACACAGCATTCCTCTAAGCACAGCACCTCATGACGGCAACGGGGAGCCACTGGCATCACGAAAGAGCAGCTTACTTCTACAGACCATCATTCACAATGTGCATGTAATACGATAGCTCGTGAAAGCTTTGTGAGTGCCCTAACTATTTCTAAAGAATCCCTAGTCATTACGTTCGACCAAAGACGCGGTCACCATGTTGACGAACAGCGCCTAGTTATCGCTTGTATTACACACGAGCCTCTTCGCGTACTGTTACCCTGCAAATCAACAGCGTACCGTTAGTCTACAGCTTCACGCACAAAAAAACATTTGAGAACGACCACTGAAGTGGAGCTTTCAATGCTGCTTCGCTCAGTGGCGGATCCAGAGGAGGGGGTGATAGGGGCGCTCGCCCCCCAAACTATCTGTAAGCACTCTCCCCTTCTATTCAGTGTTTGTAGTCCACCTCCTATCACTCATTGGGACAAATGAGTGAAACCACTGTGAGCACACATTAAGAGTATTCATGCTACGAAGGGGTTTTTCTGCTAGTTAAAACAAAAGGTCATGACCATGCACACCCCATTCTCCGGTGTTACTTTAGGTGACCCCCCCCTAAATTGATTGGCTGGATCTGCCCATGGCTTAGCTTAAAGTCCTATGCACAAGAGTCCGGGACTTGCTGTCTACACGTGCACGCTTGCGCGACTGTTGTATTAGGCACTGATGCGCGAATGAGTTCATAAGGAGCCGAACAATCTGTTCCCATTACAAGTGGCGCCTAAAATTTAAAATTTATGAACGCAAAGCGTCGTCTACTTCTCGGTGCATATATGTGTGCTATACAAGCTATACATGACGCCATCACAACCTTCTTTTTTCTCCAACTTCACACGACCATTTCACGTGACGCGGTTTCACATGCGAATGTGTGTGATGACTTCACAGCGTTGCAGCCGTGCATCAGTAAGTTTCATTCACAATGACGCTTTTGTCAGTCATAGGATACCGAGACAAGGTTATTTCAAGCTTACGAAAAGCAAAGTTGCACCCGTGTCAGTCCCCGACAGTGTCAGAAGCAGTGGACGATGCCACGCCCACGGTGCCCAAAAATTATTGTCGAACCTTTTGACGTCACGACAGGACCCACACTTTGGTGGGCACATGCCGGCACACCAATGCCAGACAAATGTTTCGCTCACACGGGTGTTACAACGCAAGTATACCACGGGAGTATCCAAGAAATTAAGCGATTTCGTCATACGTAGCATTAAAAAAAAACGGGGCAACGCAAGTAGCAGCTAACTGTCCTTCTTCTGATTCGCTAAAAGGGGAAAAATTTTTTTTTTGGCTTGGGCTGAGTACCAATGGGGTTGGAGTGACAACACAAGGGAGCAGGAACGGGTGGCGATGCCTCTAGGGAGAGGCAGGCGCCGAAGCAACAGTTCATGGGGCGGCAAGGAAGAGCTAGCTGGCCTGTTCCTTCTCGTCCTCTTTGCAAAGCTGGCCGAGTTCGCGCACGGGAAGGTGCTTCTGCAGGGGGTCCCTGAGGCGGCGCAGCTCTTCCTCGATCTCGTAGAGCTCTTCGCGAAGGGCATTGTAGCGGGACACATCCATGCCCTGGCGGCGAGCGAACTTGTAGAAGGATATCAGGAACTGGCGGTCCCGCACTTCTGGAAGCACGTAGTCCTGCGCACAGCAGAGCGACAGCACTAAGCTGTGGGTATACAGAGACGGTTCACAGAAACCTGATGCTGCACGTAATTATCGGCACCAGTTTGGCGGCATCGGAGCGTACGCACCTGGCGGGTGACGACGAAGTAGGCGTACATGGCCATGGTGGTGCCGTAGGTGATGAAGTAGGTGACGGGCTCCATGATGTCCCACGAGTACTCCCACCAAGTGAGCCTAGCCAATATGCCGAACTGGACGCCCATCAGGCCCAGCCCGAGCCACGACAGCAGCGTGGTCCGCCGCTGGGAGAGCGACATGAGCTCGCTCTTCTTGCGCTCTAGCGGGCCCAGCTGCTCCTTGACGCTGTGCAGCCGGTCCAGCAGCTTCCGCTCCTGCTCCAGCTGGTGCTCGTTCACTGTCAGGCTCTCGTACAGCCGGGCCACCAGCATCTTTAGGTCGGACAGCGTCTGCGTCTCCTCACTCGTCAGGCGGTCTGCGACACACATCAGGTATCTATATATGTCTCGTAAAACCCAGAACTTTTCTTCAATCTTATTATTTGTTTTCAGTTGACTATTGTTAGGTACGACACCGCAAACATATAAAGCGACTTACAAGAACTTGGATCGTATGTAGGGCAATAAGTGTACTAATTCAACGGGTCCCACTTTTGTGGCGACAAAGTACGGCGCACTTGTAGTTCTCTGAGCGAGTTTAGCTCTCTCCCCCCTTTTCAGATTATATGCCGGGGGTTTATGCCCCGGGTTTCCCGGGTTTATGTCCGCATGGTTCAATAGTATTTGAATGGCGCGAGCTTTTTTTCCCATACCGCTGTGATCATTTGTTCTGGCTGGCATTATCCCGATGTTCTAAAGGCATTAGAAACAGGAGTGGGAAATAAAAATTATTGCACAAAAGAAAAACAAAACATGCGAGAATGACAAGATACGCACTGAAAAGTAGATAGCTTCAAAACTTACTTTTAGTGGCGGCAGGAAGGCAGCTATATAGTTCCCTTGTCTTGGGTAATAATCGTAACGTGCAACTTAGTAAGGCGAGATGGCACGCAATCTTTTAAGTAATGGTTTGTGTATGATGACACATAACAAAAAAAAACTTTTTAGAGTTTCATCGGAGCGATAAACATTGGGAACACCTTACCGCAAGAGAATTTATCCCGCGATTGTACGTCAGGTAGGAAAAGGGGACATCAAATACTGGAAAACGCGATATTTCTGCAGCTGTGTATATAGTTAGCAGCTTGGCTCACCAGCATCAAGTCTGGTAAAGGTAGTCCGATCTTCGTGGACGATACAGGCTCGAATGATGAGAACAGTTCGATAAAACATAACAAAAGGCGCGGTTTTCGAATGATCACGACGGTGTGCACTCACTGAATCAACCAGATAGCCAGCAAGAAAGTCACATGCACTATAGAGGCAATGAAAACAACTTGATCTGCAAAGTCTCCAGTTGGTAAATTACATACAATAGCCTAACTCACACTCATGGTAACACTAATACTCCTGACACATGTGGCAACATGAGTGCACTTTGAGCGAGTGTACTTATGTTCACTAAGTGTCATTTTGGCGGTTCGCTGCTACACGAGAAAGCGAAGTGTACTTTGAGAGCGATGACAGTAGTAATTGTTGGGTTTGTAGTGCAATATATATTTGTTAGTTTTGCGCCCATGTCTCATCGTCGGACCACATTGTCTTCGCGGAAGTAGCACCAGAAGCACACGCTATTGTAAACGACAAAAGAACGACTCGCCTACACATGTGCAAAATAAACGACACGACGGATGCTGCCATTGCACAGCATGTGCGCCGAATCCACGTAGCGGACGTGGCTGCAAACTGCCCGAGAGTGAGAGTAGCGAGAATGTTTGTTGATTTATGACTTGTTTTAATACATAGCAAACTCCCTTATAATGAAAACAATAGTTTAAAAATAGTATGAGCGCTGCTTTAGGCAGCAGCGTATTTTTGCGCAAGCTACTGATACCCAGGCTACATACACACTTGGTCACAGCGAAGTGAGGTTGGGAAAGGCACTTCCCGGCAAGTGTACTTTACAGCGAGTGACACTAAACTTGCTCGCGTGACAGCGCGCAAATGACACTCACGGCTAAGTGTACTCGCTCGAAGTGCACTTAAGTTGCCACGTGTGACAGGGATATAAGCGCTGTTGAGCTTCAGGACACCCCAGTCAGGTGGTTGGTACCACGGAGCTTAACCTTAAATTTGAGAGTAACCTGACTCGACAAACGTGTACACCTTACCGGCTGGTATATATAGAAAAGAATTAAGTGGTTGCGTGAATAAATACAGAAAAGAGCAGAGACTTCTAGCCACGGTATCCAGAGTTTGTGACGCGTCTGCGCAATTGCTTTGTACTTTTTTTATTCGTGGCTCACCATGTATCCTCAGCTGTTGTTTGATCAATCAGCGTGCAGAGTAATGATCTTCGCAGTGCGTGCAGTAAGGAGTCACGATAAATAGTCTTCTAGAGCAAATATATCACAACAGATGACGGTGCGTACGTTTAAAGAGCACATCGGTAGTGCCAGATTTGCAAAGCTTATAGTGTTTACACGCTGTGGAGATGGAAAACAACGACGAATATCAGTTGAATACATCAGTAAAAGCAGGAGAATTGTTACAAAAAATCTATGACAATTTCGTACCGCACGTGGGGGGATCTTGAGTCCGACACGTGTGTGCCTTTGCGCTTAGGCAGCACCCGTGTACGAGAAAAATACAGACAGCACAGTTCAGCGGTTCTCAGGTTCAGCAGTTGACAGCGGTTGTCATAACAAAAGCTGGCAGGCCATGCGCCACTTGAGAACAATGAATCTACTTAAAAAAACAGAGCGCGTTCAGTGTTATAGCGTGAACGATGCATTGTTTTAGTGCATCACATCTACTGATGTGAACAGGATGTATACAAATGCAGGACGTTCTGTATCGAGTAACAAAACAATGAATGCATATTTTGGTGGTTCATTCAAATTTATGTTTTGCTTAGATGATTTATAACAACATTTATGCTAACAGTCATGAGTTGATTGTACGTGAGCTGCTGTCTTTGTATGCCCGGGGGTGAAGGACTACCTCAAGCCATTCAAATAGTGGTGCCTTTCACCTCGGATCGCTTGTATTGTGATGAATCAATAAAATAAATCAAAATCAACTAAAAATGCTGCCATTCATTCAAGTGCTCACCTATAGATGGTGGTTCAACGAGGTAGATCTGGTTGTTTAGTGTTAGAATGAAGTTTTCTCGCAGGAGAGACTCGATGGAGGACGTCGATGCTATGCGCACGCCATCTGCAAAAGAACCGAATAAAAGAAAATGCTTGTCTTTTTCTTTTTTCTCGGCCACAAATTGTAAAACTTATCATCTGAGATCAATATTTCTTGTTGCCTATTAGAATGAATTTCTTTACACATATGTATACAGTTGCTACTCTATACGACGATTTAAAGATAGCCAACAAAACTCGCTCCATTCCGAACCAGCGTATGTATTGTATCAGTGGCTAAATTGTAAATTTTATAAGAAAAATGAGCAAAAAATACGAATGATGGCAAAAAACTTAAGTTTCTTTTCGCCTCTCCTCGTGCCGAGAGAAGGATGCCACCCATGATTGAAGCTCATCAACACAAATTCTTTTTATGATCGCAACTTGAAGCTTGACAGCGTTAACTTTGCCATATTTAGAGGACCTCACTACCACAAAGCTTGACCACATGAAAAAAAAAAAAGAAGTCGGTACCATTACAGCGGTAACACTTAAGTTTAGATTTTTCAGTGAAAGGATATTTTTGGCGCACGTTCGACGTTCAACTTGGAGAACTGGGCACTTGCATCCATAGGTAGGTCACTCATGAGTTACTCACTCACTGACTTATACTCAGATCGAGTCGCGAGCCTGAGCTTGAGCGAGTCCGGGTGAGTAATACTTTTCATGAGTCTGAGTCCGAGTGAGTCCCTGCAGAGCTTGAAATGTATTTCATGAGCGAGTCTGAGTGAGCTCTACAAATTTTGCCGACCTGTGCTTGCATCATCTTAATACGGTTCGAGACTTGCTTGTGCGAAAAAAGCGTCGCACGCGTGACAGGTTGTTTTTTTTTACGGCACACTGTATTTAGCAGTGCATAATGTTTTGATCTGTTCATAAATCAATGCTACACATTATGTATCCTATACCGGGTGTTCAATGTTAAGCTTTATAATTTAAAAAAATTAGGCTTTCGATGGCACGTGAGAAGCACTTGTGCAAGTAAATTAAGCAGCCAGGAAGACAGAAAAGTTAGATGATAATTATTGCTGTCAGCGGCCCAATTAACTAAAATGTAATTATTAACTTTTTTACTGGCTGCAGTAAGTTGGCATGTTCACATTGAAAAAAATGTAGGCAGTGGTTCTTGTACACAGTTTCAGTTGGAAGATTTTCTTTTTCTAGCATGCCTGTGCTCCGAGATATCCGGCTCCAAAGTTTGTCTTTGGTGGGATTACGCATACAAGAGGATGAAGGTCCGCGCAAAGCTCCTCCCTAAAGTGACGCATGTGTTGCATGTGCTGTTTAGTGTGTGAAGAGGGTGGAAGCGTAGGCATAGGTGATATAGTTAGCCTTGCCCTCTCAGCCGTCGAAATAAAAAATCGAAGAACACTTGCAACCAGTATTGTAACACGCAACTGCAGAGCCTCTAACAATAGTGGCAGATTCCATGCCAAGATAATGGGGCGAGCGGATAATCTGGATACCAGTAGGCATGCATAATTATGACTCAAGAAGTATGGGTGGTCATTCCCTGGGCTACGCGAATAGCGTGACTGCTGATGTCCGAATACTGTAACATTTATTAAAATCAAGAGCAACAACTTTACCAATAATAACTGAAACAGCTTTATCCTTGCTAGCGCATATTTCCTGTTGCTTATTTCGGTCATGCACAAATCTCATCAAAACTCACCTCTCAAAACGTGAATGCCCCAAAAAGTGTTTAAAGTACCTGCCTTCAGTAGCAACGCAAAACGTGAACCACTCTCGCATCGACTCGATGACTCGGCGCACTACTTCTGCAGAAATACTCGCACAGGCAGATCTTATCCTGTCTTTCATGCCATTAAAATCGCTGTGATATTTAACGTAGCCCCAAAAGAAAAAGTCGAGCTGAGAAAGGTCAGGAGATCTTGGTGGCCAAAACATCGCTCATGCGCACCCGATTCACTGTTGTGGAAAACGTCTGTCCAACCAGTTCTTCGTCCTGGTAGAAATAATACGTGGTGGTGCTCTATCGTGCTGAAACCATATTTTGTTCTAATCATTCAGGGAAAGACTGCAGACAAGGTCAGCAATGACAACACCTACTATTTTTTCTTTGTACATCTTTCCAGTCAAGTTGTCTTCAAAAAAGTGAGGTCCGATGATCTTGTCGCTGGTTATGCTGCCCCACACATTTATATTCTGGCAGAGGCAGCAAAAGCAAGCATCAAGTTCGCTAGAGTGGGTCTTCTTGTGCCCAATAATGGGCGTTGTGAAGATTAATACTTTCATTCTGACAAAACCAAGCTTGATTACTCCGAATTATTCTGAGCAAAAAGTCATTTTCTTAATCAGTTTTGATGAGGCCCCAATTGTAAAGTTAACTCGCCTTTAAAAGTCCACCTCATTTAGGTTCTGATGAAGGTAAGTGTGGCCTCGCCACGGTGGTCTAGTGGCTGAGGTACTGGGCTGCAGACTTGCAGGTCGTGGGATTGAGTCCTGGCTGCGGTGACTGGATTTTCGATGGAGGCGAAAACGCTGTAGACCCGTGTGCTCAGATTTGAGGTGCACCTTAAAGAACCCCAGATGGTCGAAATTTCCAGGGCCCTCCACTACCTGATATTGTGAACGTGCTTTATGAAGACATAATTGTCGAAGAGATATAGCGTGTAACAATTGTAGTGAAGGGAGTAGTGCAGTGTAATGGAGAACAAAATTAAAAGGAAGAGGCTCGGAATAATTTCATTTTTATAACGGACGAATTCTTCACAGCAAAGTCGACGCAGCCCTCTATCAAAAAGGCCAGCCCCTTCGACGGTTTTAGCAGATTTTTTTTAATTACGAGAATATTTATATGGACACTCTCTACAGGCTTTCATCGTTTTACGCTTTTATGAACACCATATGATTAGCACTGTCAAAATGAGAGCCTATATGTATTGCCCTTTCACTTGTTAGTAGGCATTCGTTTATGTATTTTATTGTGTTTGTGTCGTTTGCCCTGTATTCCTAACGAGCTTATGGCACGAAAAAAACACGAGAGAAGGACACGGAGGAAGAAGGAGGTGGCTAGCTTGCAAAAAGTAGTCGTGTTGGAAGACGCCGTTGTGGATGATGAGAGAGTTCAAAGGACACTAGAACTCGGGCAGAAGTTTTGTTTCGGGCCCCGCCTGAAAGCAGCTGAGGCCTTGGAGATGGAAAGAATGCAAGCGGATCGGTTACCGAAAGCGGAGAAGGCTCGTTGCATTGCTGAGTGGCAGGGGTCATTGCGAGCGCGAGACAGAAATTGCAAATGCTTGTATGAGGATTCGTGAAGAGCTTTGCACTTGTCCTTCTCTCCTGTTTTTTTTTCGCACCATAAACTCGTTAAGAATGAACCAACTCGCCCAACAAGTCACTCTGCCTTATTCCTTCCGTGAAACATGCACCAACGAGCGCAATAAAAAGTTCTGCTTGAATAGATTTCGTCGTCCCTGTCATGTTCCGTATAAAGTCCAAATTAATAGCTTTTGTCCGTACACTGTATGTTAAACCCACGCATGAAGCCTTACGAGTGCTATCGAGGAACACTGCTGAAGCATAAATGAAACAAGCTCTCCCTCTCCACCGCACGGAGGGCGCAAGTAACAACATCACTCTGCGTGCGATGCCTGTCGTCAATTGATACTCAACTGAAAAGGAAGCCCTGTCTGTCTTTCGCTTGACGAAAAAGTATGAAGAGGTGCTCAGGTAGCAGGCTGCGTGACTTGATCTACAACTATGAACTTCGAATATAAGGCAGCGTTTGCGAGTGCCAGCCCATGCTATTTCAGCAGGCATCAGCGAACGGGTCGTGTACTCTTCTACGCATTATATTATCACTGCACAAACACAGATCTTCTCCTGGTTGCGGCCATATTCCCATACACAAACACTTTGCAGTCTCGCGAGATCAGATGAAAAGAAGTTAGCTGCAGCCTGAGTTTGTTATAGGGCTGCATGCTCCTATTGCATGTTGCAAAATGTGAAGTCGTTGAAGGCGTTAAGAACAAGGGCGCATGGTAGTGGCTCTGAACAATAATGTTTACTCCATCGGGGCTAGATCGGCATTCATATTTCGTTCTTCTCTTTCCCTACATCCTAGTCTCTACCCCCAAGACTACTCCCCATTAGTATATTTTCAACAAAAGGGTTTTCTGGCCAAAAAACTGTTGAAGTCACCTAAAACTTGGCGTTTTCTTCTCAAATACCCGAGATTGTAACTGTTGAACTCTGTTAAAGTTAATAACACTTCCGTACTGGACACTTTAGTCTCATCTTTTGAGAAATTTGGATGTTGTGGCAAATTTCGCAATGTAGATGCGCTCATTCTTAAGTTTAGTGACATTGTGCGTGAATGCCTATTAAAGTATGGGCCTCAAAAATATAATAAACGGAACCCCAAATACCCATGGTGTCATAAAGATGTAGTTCATCTCACTCGTCGAATAAAAACACGTAAGAATCGGCATTTCAACATTAATTGTAGTGCTTCGTCATTTAATGACTTGAAAATAATTTTGAAGCTAAATAAAAAATCTAAGAACTACTACTTCAGCAGTGCCTTCGCTACACTTCTGAAAAAAATCCATCCAGGTTCTAAAGGTAGATTAGTCCTCCATCGTCTAATCCATCACCATTTATTTTTGATGGCCAATTCTCCTCAAATCCTGAAGCTATAGCAAATGCCTTTAATAATTCAAATCTATTTTTTTCTACCAATAACGGCATCACTACTTCGTTCCCCACGTGCAGTGAACCACCTGCTCTTTGTAATCTTGAATGAAGCTTCTCTCGAGTACATGACGTTATAATAAACCTTGAGGTTTCAAAACGATCTGGCAAAGAAAGTGTTCCAAGTATGTTTCTAAAGTGGTATTTAGAATGGCGTGCTATCTTACTGTAATATTCAAAAACTCAATAATCTCTGAAGTACTTCGTCTTGCCTGTATTTAAGTCCAGAAACAAGCAAATTATTCCGAATTGTAGGTCAATATATTTGCATTCTGCCAGCTTTAGACTTTTGGAGCATATCATTAA